GTCGCCATCATCAGCGTCATCATCATCATCAGCATCAGCGTCATCATCATCAGCATCATTAGCATTGTCATCATTAGCACCTATCATCATGGACATCGTCATAATTATCATCATCAACAGCATCATCATACTCATCCTCATACGCATAAACATGATCATCAGCATCATCATCCTCATCATCATAGTCACCATCGTCATTCATCATCATCCTCATCATCATCATCATCATCGACAGCATCATCATCACCGTCATCATCAGCAGCAGCAGAAGCATAAGCAGCAGCAGCAGCAGCAGCAGAAGCATCAGCATCAGCAGCATCGTCGTTATCATCATCAGCATCATCATCATCATCAGCATTAGCAGCAGCTACATGATAATCATGTCATCATCAGCAGCAGCAGCATCAGCAGCATCATCATCATCGTCATCGTCGTCATCAGCATCATCATCAACAACATCATCATCACCACCACATTCACGGCCACCACATCATCATCAGCATCACCACCAACGTCATCATCATCATCAGCAGCAACAGCGTCAGCATCAGCATCAGCATCAGCATCAGACTCAGCATAAACATCATCATCATCAACATTCGTATTCCCATCCTTTCCACACGCACACAGGCAAAAATCAACAACAACAACAACAACAACAACAACAACAACAACAACAACAACAACAACAATAACAACAATAGTAATAAAAATAACAACAACAAGAACAGCACACCAGAGGCCACTCCGGAGAAGGGCCACTCCTTACGTGCAGCCGACCATCCCTCTTCGCACGCCATTCGTCAGGCGATGTTCCTCCTCTCTTTTTCCTCCGATCCCCACGCTCCTGATCCTCTGTCCTCCTCTTCCCGATGTCCTTTCCTCCTCCTCGTCCTCCTACACGCCTGCCTCTTATCCCGTCTTGTCCTCATCTCTCCCTCTTTTCCTTCCCCCGCCTTAGCATCTTCATTCCCCCCCCTTGGCACGCTCGTCTTCCTCCTCCCTACTTTTACTCCCCCTCCCCTCCCCCCCCCCCCCTGGTTTTACTCCCCCTCCCCTCCCTCGTCTTCTTCCTCCTCCTCCCCCCCCCCCCTGGTTTTACTCCCTGGCGCCCTTTGCGGCCTCTTGGCGGTTCTAATGCAGCCACAAGGACCGCCCCGAAGCGGCCGCAGAGCACCCCGAGACCGTCCCCAAAGACGGTCCAACGAGCCCCCCCGAAGGCTACAAAAGATCCCTCAGATGCCACGAGAGGCCCCAAGACGCCTCCAAGAGATGCCCGACGACTTTAGCGAGGCCCTCGACAGCAAAAAAAACGAATGACCAACCGCTCAAAGAAACGATGCTGTTGCTTCCGATGTTGCCGCCGCAAGAAAATTTCAGGAATCCTGTAGAAGTCCCCAAGGCGGCCCAAGACTGCTCCAAGAGCGCCCCAAGACAGCCGCCAGACTGCACGAGAAGACCCCGAGACGACCGAGAAGGCCACAAGACGGCCCCAACACCCACCAAGACATCTCTACGATTATTGTACCAAGCTCGTACGGGGAGAGCTCTGTGAAAGATCGCGCACAAGACGGCCACTCAACCTCCTGCCTGATGCGCTGCTACGCTGGAAAGGTGGCGGGGCTTGCCGCAGGCAGCTGGATGTATACTCATAGCAATATCCAGCTACATTTCTCGACCGTTCCTTCTGCCTCGTTGTTCCTTGCATCCGCAGGGAAGCCGCCCCCAGCCCCTTCTATATCATCGCCTTCATCGTCAAACTTATCATCGTCCTTCTCATCGTCGTGGTCGTCGTTCTCGTCGTCATCACCACCACCACCGCGGCATAAGAATCATCGCCACCACCACCACCACCACCACCACATCATCATCATCATCATCATCATCATCAGCAGCAGCAGCAGCAGCATCATCATTGTCATCATAATCATAGTCTCTGTCGTCGTCGTCGTCGCCGTCATCATCACCATCATTATCATGATCATCATCATCATCATCATCATCATCATCAGGAACAGCAGCAGTATCATCACCACCACCACCATCATCATCACCATCATCATCAAAGTATCATCATCTTCTTCTTCATCGTCATCAACAGAATCGTCGTCATCAGCATCATCAGCAGCAGCCGCAGTACCAGCATCATCACAATTATCGCCGTCATCATCAGCATCATCATCGGCATCAGCATCACCATGCTCATCATCATACTCATCATACTATTCATCGTCATCGTCACCTTCATTGCCGTCATCATAATACGCAGAAACATCATCGGCGGCACCATCATCGTCTTATCCTTCATCACCAGCATTACCAGCAGGATGCATAATCACCATCATGTTCACAATCATCATCGAAAACGTCGTCGCCAGTCGGCATCGGCATCGTCACCGTTGTCGTCTTTACCAGCATCCTCATCATCGTCCTCACTACATTCGTCATCGTCATCATCACCAGCATCGGCATCCGTATCATCATCAGCATCATAATCAGC